CTGTTTATTGTGTTCAGTAACTGACACTAATCTCATTTTTGTAATCATCTGTTTCCTCTTGTCTGCTGCTGCAAAGACATCATGGCCCCAATCTAATCTAATAATGTCAAGGTTTTGGCCAAGGAAACACATTTAATACTACTTTTGCCCAAAGCACTTTGGTATTCCAACTGTACAGTGCTACAAATTTCCTAAAGATTGCATGGCGACAAGGCGATCGCAGGTTGACAACAATTTGAAATCTGGTTGTGGAAGAATCATAACTAAATTGTTGCCCCCCCCCACCCCCCCATCTGATAGACGTGTCGGGGGTTAAAACAACACGGGAGCAGACTATGAGATGGATTTTGACCTTCCACCGAAGGAGAGAATCTGGGCCTGTGTTTATGTCAGTGTACACACCCAGGGCTAAATGAGGTCTGTGTGTGGGCTGTCTGCCTGCTCCAAGCAGATCGCTGCCCTAAAATATAATCCCAGCAGCCTCCAAGTTGACAGCCAGCAACCTCAAAGAGAGCATTGTGGGAAAGATTATCTGCCAAGGGACTATAAAGTCCTCAGATCAACGATAATTCTTTTTTTCTAACCGTTGTTGCTGACTGAGTTACGTGTCTTACATGTGACGACAATGGCAGCAACACATCTGGAAAGGAGTTTTTTGGCCTTGTTTCAGAAGCTTGTGCATTTTCCACATCTGCAGCTTTGTGGAGTGCAGCTTGATCGTCTCATTGAATGTTTTTGATGCCATCAGGGGTTGTCTGGATTATTTAACAATCTAATTTAGTAGTTTTGGTCATCATTCATATCAGTAATTATACCACAGGAATTATCGCATCATTTCCTCAGATCTGTCAGGCTTGAAAATGGGAAGAAAACTGCCTTTAAAAAAGGAAACAGGGCCACACTCAGAACCTTTTGGGGTTTGGGGTAAAATTGTGCCAGTGGGCTCATATTGATCCACAAAATGATCTCCATCTAGTATTTGGATCCTCTCTGTGAATTCCGCCTATGAAATGTAACTATGAAAATAAGAAGTTGTAATAAACTGAAATGATCCTGTAGTTGTAAATAAATGATGAAATTGTCATTAACTCTGGATTTCTTTGGGCAGTACTGGCTTTTAGCTGCCGTGCCAATCTGAACACAGTAACCCACTGTGACAACAATGGTTCAGTGTCTTGACAGACGTTTTTAATGTTACAGCAAACCCACCTTCATCCGTCATGAAGGAGTCGCAATGTTGTTAGCCTCGGGCCAGAACCCCCACAAAAAATACTTAATGTCTCCCCGACAGTTTCTCTGGAGGTGCAAGGATAACACATCAGGCTAGCAGAAGGGAGGGAGGTTATTAGAAATGTTATCAATATCGATTCCATGCTCAGAAAAGGTTTCATCTTCATGCAGCCGAAAGACCGAGATTGTAAATGAGCGGGATGGCTTCCTGCCTCCATGAAGGATTTGTGCACTGCAATGATGCTTTAGAAGGAAGGCACTCGTTCTTCAGCAGGGCGATCGGAGTTGATTCTCTTTTAAAGGTTCTCTGCCCGACATTCAGAACATCCAGGTAGCATGAAGCAACTATCTGCTTTGTGGAGATTGTGGTAAAACCAGTGTGTTCGAAAGTGACGCCAAGGGGTCCAACCAGGTGTCAGTCTGTGACGAGTTTGGGTGAGAGCGTGCTGCCAGGGAATAAAGTCACTCTCTGTTTGTGTGTGATGACCAAATCTACCAAAATCTAGACAATGGGGAAGATCTCGGGGTAGAGAATAATGAATATGGAGTTACGTGTGCACTGTTCACGCAGTTAGCATCGTTAGCTTCTAGCCACCGACGCAGGTATCGCCATGTTGAGAGCCATGTGGAAGCAATCTGTCAATCACAGATTTGCTCTTAATTTAGAGAATAAACATACTGTACGCTTTCATTTGTGCAAGTTTGCTAAAACTTTCCTCCCTTGCAATCATCGAATGTGTGTTACTGTATTTCATTGCAGAATACATCTCTACATTTTAGGAATAAGTTTCTGCTTGTGTGTTGAAAATAATTTGTAATCAAGTCACATTTTGAGGGATTTCCTAAAACAGGAAGCAGGCTACAGACTGCACATTCTGCCGTGCACGTTTAGACACTGGTATTCTTGTTTGGATTCACAGCAAACGGCCTATTTTCATTCTGTCCTAACATTGCGTTGTTTAAACTAAGAGGTGAGGGGGGGGGGTCACAAAGTGTGTCTGTGGAACCAGCAAAACACTAATCTCATCAATTTCCCAACGCAAATATTGGACCTATTAATCCTCTGTGCAGACACTTGTAGTCACACCGTGGCCTCTGCCAACTCTTGAGGAACACATGGAGGCTTGTACACAGACATTTCACAAAGCCCAGGGACATTTCTATATTTATTTCTCTTGTTACCATAGTGACATTATACTCCGGGGGAGATAGCAGGCTCCTTGTGCAGTCTCGTTGAGCTTCACGGTTGAAAATGCAAACACATTCGAGGACAAGGTGTCAATAAAGCACGTGCAGATATGCATAAACCATTAGACAGTGTTTGTAGTGGATGTTGGGTGTTTGAGCAACTTAAGACAAGCACTCGCCACTAGGGATGGATTCAATCAATGCTCTTACACTGTTATCTCGAAGCCTTTTCACACCAGTACCTCTGCCAACAGAGTTGGACAGGAGTTTTGTTTTCTCTCCATTCCGCCTGTTTGTCTCTTCAGCTGTCAAGTCATGTTTGTTTTACAGAAAATGTCAATATTTAATACATTTTTCGGGGGGGGGGGGGGGGGGGGGGTAACACCAAACAAGAACAAATGGGAGAGTTTTTGGAAAACCTGGTAATGGTAATTCATTTCAAGTTATTAGCTTTTCACACTGTTTGACCCGTAGAGGTGAGGGTATCAACAAGAAACAACACCTTTAATACCAAGCCAACCAAGCAACAGGGAAGCCCTGGAGAGAAATGCATGGTCTGAAAAGAACTGCTGCGCCAGGCTTTTTCCAAACCTTGGTAAAGTGGCGTTTAGAGTGCAGCCTCACTGGCCACTGAAGAGAAACAGAGCTGCAGGCTGTCTTAAAGACTCTTTGCAACATTTGTGCACATTTCAATCTCCAATCGCCAATAGAGCCATGACGAATGGAGCACCCCTTGACACTGATGGTATTCTGTAAGCTCGGGTAGGTGAGAGTTGGTCTTATCAAACACAGATGCAATGTTAAATGTCGGACTAGGACATCAGCGGGTGGCCTAACAGGCAGGTCTTTGAGCCTCCTTATGTTTTCTTCACATATTTCACAGGCGGAGTGAATTATGGAATTGATTTGTTGAGGATTGGTAGGGAGTGTTTTTACAGAGGAATCATGTTCATGATTAGACTCAAACTCCTTGTGCTACTAGGATTATATTAAGAGGGGGTGCGCGCTTCATCACGGTGCCTCTGTAAACAAAGGTACCAATGACTTGACGTCATGGAATGTGCGTCCTGACATCTAAAGATGTAAACACAGGGGAGAAACACAAGCCTTTTACGTCGTTGGAGGAAGAATCCCCCGGCAGCTTGTGGCAGGAATTTTGTTGAGCCCCAGGGGGGCTAAAAATGTAATCAGTGACTGTACATCTGTTCAACATTAGCAATTAGTTCTCCAGGGTCAGTGCATGAGTACTGTTCACACTGAGGCAGATTGTGCATGGAGATTAGCAGATGAGGAGAAAGGGTTCCCGTGTACAGTTCCCCTGTTTTATTCTGCCGTTATCTTGGTAGTTTTTGATATCAGGAAAACAAGCGCTAACTATAGAGCTAACTACTGTATCTGCAACACCCGTCAGTGGGGCTTATCTATAAATTAGCAAAAACAAGGGCGGATGAGTCCTTCCGTGCTTGGAGGGAACGGATCACAGTGCAGACAAATCTGAATCGAGTTCCCCATCTGTGCTTTGATTCTGTGCCACTGAGACAAAGCAACAGTCCCCCGTTCACATCATCAGGAGACACCTTTTCCCTTGAGCTGCCAATGAGGCTCCCAGAGAGGTTTGTCTGGATTTAATTGAAGTGGGATTTGCAAAGAGAGTGTGAAGATCTGACAGCTGGCGGAAGACAATGAGCTCAACAGCTGCTCGAAGTCGAAGGCGGATCCTGCCAGTTCGTCATGTGTACAATTCTGTGAGTTGGTTAAGCTGTTCGGATATGCTGTTTTCACCTCGCCGCCGTCGTCCCGCTCTCGCAGCGCACAAAGTCCCACTCGAACTGGGAGGAATGAGAAGTAGAACCGCACATCGTGTCTGAGAAAGGTACATCTGTATCTGACTTTACTGATGCACTATGGAGCCATTGTACGGGCTTTGGCCCCCCTCCTCCTCGTAGCTCACACTACCTCTCTCACTCCCTTACTAGCCCCCCGCCCCACCTCTCTCCCCGCCACACTTCTGCCATCTCTCTTCTCCGGGTGTATAAGGAACAGCCCTCTGAAAGAGCCATTCATTGCTGCGGGGACCTCAGCTCACCTCCGACAGCATCAGCCGGGCTTCATCCTCACTGCCTCCTGCCTTTTGGCAACACACTTTCAATGCAAACATTCTAAAGGTGAATGCTCTCACACACTCAGCAGGGGCGCACACCAAAAGGCAAAGAAGAAATACATTTGACAGATGTTGTGTCAGGCTTTGGACCGCCGTCAGACCGCAGGCACATAATTCCCGCTTGTTCAGTTTCATCCAAGAGAGAGAAAGTTTCACAGCTGAGCCACAGATGCACGATGACAGTGAGGGTGGACAGCAAAAACTAAAATAAAACCCTGATATCGACTAGAGTTCCCTTTCTGCCGAATGCCATGTTGGTGCAGGTTGGGGCTTTCTTGCACTTGGAGGCGAGCCTGAGGCGCCCACCCCTCGGCTCAGCACGCTTTGATTTGTGCATTGGGGGAGCATCAGACAGATCTCTGACAGAGGGGAGGGGGAAGTGAGAAAGGGGGACACCGGGGGGCAGGACAGTGGCACTTACCTCCATAACCTGGACTGGGAAGGCAGAGCAGCAGGGTCAGCAGGGTCAGCAGGGCGGCGACCGGGACCAAACGCGTGGCTCTCATGATCTCGTTCTGAAAAGTTAAGTCCTCCACTCTCACGTTAAAGACGCTCCATTCAGAAGGGACTGCATGAGTTTCCAGTTTTGGGACCCGCTACAGGATACTCCTTCATGTGGAGGGGCAGGGCTGGGGAGGGACCACGAGAGGGACCACCTCTTTCAAACCGCCACCCCCCTCTCCAGCACACTTATACACACACACACACACACACACGTCTTCAAGGACTGAAAAATCCTATCCTGCCTCTCCCTCCTGTCCCTGCACCTACACATTCACAGGATGAAAACATGTTAGAAACACACACACACACACACGCAGGTGTCAGCTCTGCCCGTTTAACTTCCCTATAGCAACACTACATCCCGCCTCCCTCTCAGTAATTGGAGTGGCCTTTGGAGACCAGCGGCGGCCTTCTACAAGGATTTGATTTTAAGACAAACCAGGTTGCTCAACACTTACTGCGCTTCTAAAGTTCCCCTTGATCAACCTGTCGTTCTTTCCATTTTTGTTCCTATAAACCTATAATTATAATTTTTTTTTTTTTCAATTTGAGAAAGTATTTATATTTGTTTATTTCTAGCTATATTTTAGTATTTTCTGTTGCCGTGCCAACCTCTAGTAATGATGATGTGTGTACTTGTTTGATGTCCAATAACTGAACAAAAAATAAATACATATTATTATGTGTTTCTCATTCATGACTGACACTCAGGAATATGAAGACTTTCATTTGACCCCTCTGATCTGTGCAGGAAAGTCCTCCTTCAAATGTCTTTTTTTTCTTCTTTTGGATCAACAGCATCTCTGGTGGCAGCAGACGTAACAGCTCCCCACTGAGGTTGCATTCATTTGTTGGGAAAACAACAAACAGGATGAAAAATGTAGATAAAAAGATATGCTGATATGGGGCTCCTGCAGAATGTCAGCGCACAGCCTTATGTAATCCACACAACACCCTTTGCATGAGCACTTGATGCCAACAGATGTGTGTGAGAACCCACCTTCATCAATGCGACATGATGTCATCTTCTCTGGGGCTCAATAATGGATGGACATGCTGTGATTAAAGATGCCCTGTGGAGAATTTATTGTTAACAAACGGTTTTGTTTACATTCGGCTATCAAATTATGAACACCAAAATATGTTACACGTGTCCTTAAGGCTTTAAAACATATTGAATGAATTTCCTGCCACATAAAACATCTGAGAATCTTTTATTGAATCTTTTGAAACCTGTGTTGTTTACTTTTCCTTCTCATCCTCTTTTATAGCTTTGCATTAAGTTAACCTCATGCTCATGTTGTGTGTGTGTGTTCTTGTTGTGGGGGAACATAGAAACAATGGCGCCACATAACACCATAGAGACACAATACACCACTAAAAAGCTGCATCAATAGATTTGAGGGGGGGGGGCAACGCGTGGTCCGAGAACCAATGGCGTTTGCCATTTGTACAACGAGATGGCGCACGACTCGTGTTTTTGAGCCCCTATTGGGTCTCATCAGTCACGACAGGTTGTCCCCTGATTGGGCCTAAACGCCGGTGGTCAAGGCTCATGATGGGGGTGTGACCGAAGGCCAAAAGGGCCGAGCAGTCGGACTTCCAATCAGGGTGGTTTCAAATCTCTTTGTCATGAAATGGTCTCTTTTTGTTTCCGTCTCTCCCCTGCACCAAAGCAAACAAACACAGCGGAGATTTTCTCCTGCAAATACAAGATCAGTAGTAACTTGATGTCCCCTGCTATGGACCGACTCTAATCTTTTACTTTTTCACGTTCCACTGTTGACTACGAGGGTATTTGTCCTGATTCTATCCTCTGAGCCTACTTCACAGTTTCAGCCTTCCTGAGCTCGGAGGAATTCTCATCAGACCTCGTTTCCCTCCCAGTTGATGTCATCTTCACACGGAGCCGTAACTTGGGACGTTTTGACCAAAATTCACCCCTAAAGTCATGCTAGGCAGAGTAAAGAAAGCTCCACTTTCACCGCGCCGTCTCAAATATCAGCTCGGCGTGTCGCTGCAGCCGTCTGGCCGGACCACCGTCATGCTGTGGGAGCTCCAGACTTCATCAAACCGCAGCGAGTCAATGTTGCTCTGAACCTCCTTTTCCTCCCTCTCAGGATAAGAATGTGAGCCAGATGGCAGATAATCACAGCGGCCTGTTTTGATCACCGTGTATTACTGCTTTAAAAGGAGACGGCAATAATCAATGGGTGTCTAAACGAGGAGCTTTACAGGCATTGGCAGGAAAATAGAGCTGTTTCATTTCAACGGATGCTTCATTTTTCCAGGATATGTTCCTTCAATCTATGTGAGCCAAACCTTTCAGTCTCTTTAATAGATGGTAGTATATGGTTCATGTTTCATTACTTCAATTGAATTAATAATATAATTCCACGATTCCTTTGTCGTTTTTCTTTTCCTTCTGTGACAACTGAGAATAAACCGAACCAGCTGCATGACAGCAACGTTCCCCGTGTGCTATACTGTATATATGCCTCAGGAATGCTTGCTGGACAGGAACTTTATGACTGGAAAGGTTTTTTTTTTTTTTGAAGAGGCTTCAGGTTGCAGACTCGGCCATTTGTCGGCAAAGGTAAACACTGATGCGTAGCTGTGAGAAAAAGCAGCAGGCCGAGAGGCAAAGTTCATGGTCACATAATTCTCCGCGCGGCAAAGAAATGTCACTTTCTAAATCGTCTGTTTTAGATCAATGACAATCGTAGAACAGCAATAACTGATGCAAAGGGTAACAACCATAGCATCTCACATTCAGGTTTTTATTAGCTTCTACAGCGAGTTTGTTATAAATAAACGTTGACTTTGGTGACTTCTGCCTCCCCGCTTTCTCGCCACTTGAAAAACAGGTAGAACTATTTTTTTTTAAATGTGTTTGTCATCCATCCGCCTGGTTTCTATTGTTTTTGCTTCTATTGTTCATGTTTGTGTTCACCCTTTTATTTTAATTTGTTATAGTGCATAAATGTATTATTATTATTATCAATTGCTTGTTATTTACAGACTGAATCGCTGCAGCTTCCTCGTAGTGAGAATTTGTCGCTTTTTCTCTCTATTAGTCAGTTCAAATTCAACATTTATTCAATCAAATGCTTTGCTGCTTGTTACTTTACCTACGTGGTTGTCATATTAACCAACAGTTCAATGTCCGTTTGACTCCTATTTGATTCAATCAGTTATTTCCTCTCAATAATGAACTTAGACGTTCACATGACTTGTAGCAGGATGCACGGCAAAGATTTGAAGTGTTTCTACCCAGGAACCGGCTTTGGAGTCCAGAGAGAAATCTGTGCAACTAAGGTGAACAATGAATTCAGGTTATATTCTAGCATATGTTTGCTTTGTATAGAAAACCGAAATTCCCATCCCATAGACACTGCATAACATCACAGCGGACTCCCCCACCATCAAAGCCAACAGATCACCAGTGTGACAGAAATCTATCTAGCGATCAATTGTGTGCCAGTCAGCATGTTCGCCAAACCAAATTCAGGATTTCACGCGGCTGGATAGAGGAGGATAGACGTGCCGTTCAGGCTGCTCACATGTGACCTCGCTAAATGGAGGCAGGCGCTCTGACACTGAGCCCCCCCCATTCACTGAACACCGTGCCGCTTTAAGGCAGCTAATGAGCACCACTGAAGTTGACGTGCGTTTAAAGCAGGTGGTTGTGTCTGGAGACGTAGGGAAATTATAAAGTCACATCCTGCAGCAGCAGCTTGGCACGAATATTTAAAAAAAGGGAAAAACCAGCCTGCTATCCACAGGTAAGCATTACCTGTGTGCAGCATGCATTTTGTATTTGCCCTGCAAACTGGGGAGTGGTATTGGTGATATTGATATCTATAATACATACAGATATGAACAAAGAACAAATACATAAAGACAAAGCATTACAAAATCCAATCAAAGATGTCTATATTCTGTATTGATATAATTCAAGACGGCTAGCACACGATATGGACAGATTCACTTTCTAGTGGAAGATCAGGACTGTTAATCCTTCTTTGCTCTTCACCAGTTTAATCCTCGCTAAACATGCGTCTCTCAACTAGTACTTGAACAGCCAAAGAGCTGCGCCGTATTAGTTCCTGAAATGGAAACCTATATTTTTATCATATACTGTGAAGTGAGGGCACACAGAATACCAGGCCGTGGGTGGAGAGACAGTCAGGTTTACTGCACCACCACCCTGGCGAGTACACAGGCATACAGCAATAATGGCTTTGATGTGACAATATAAAAAAATGCCAGATACTAAGGGATATATCACAAACAATGTGGTACCACAGAGGCTGAGGTGTCATCTATTTATTTGCGCATAATAAAAGCAGCATTGGTCAAGGCTTCCCTCTTGAAAAACAGAAAATAGCTCCCTAGGACTTAAATGGCTTGATTACCTTCCATTCTGTAACCATGATGGAGTCTTCCATGTGGAGATCCAGTATCATTCACTCAAAGAAACCCGCTGGGAGCCTTAAGAAATGTTTGACTGCTTATTCAGGCTGAACTCCGATACAAAGCTCAGCACAGTGCGATTATAAAGGACCAAAGTAAATCTCAGTGATACTGTGCATCCTCTGTTCTCGTGGTCTTTTCTGAGAGGGGCTGGCACACATCCAGAGCACACCCAAACTCGTCTTTGTGGAAGATGAGGGCTTATTTCGAGAACACTCAAGGAAAGGAAAGTTCCATCCCACACCGACACAAAGTTAAATCGATAAATATGTAGGATTACAGGCAACATATCAACATCTGCAGCAGGTAACGGCTGCACGTTCTTTTTGGTTCTATTCCAGAAAATGTGCTGAGTGCCAATAGAGGTGAAGAGAACACTGAACACTGCCCTCTGGTGGAGGATCGAATGAGCTTTGATGACCACCCACCCGGCCTCTTGGGCTGAACACTTGAATTCTTAATTACAATTATTGCAATAAACAGATTGTTGCAAGAGGCACATGTCTTCCGGTTCACAGAGTAGATGCCTTTAGTGACGTCAAAGCCATCCAAGGAATGAATCAACCATCACAAGGAAGAGCGGGGGGGGGGAATGAACATGTCCGCTGTTTAGGATGTAGGTCAAACTAAGAGGGTCAGAAGTTCGGGGTGAACCTCCGGGCACAAAACGATGCAGGATGCTTATAAAAGGAATTCATGTGAAAATGATTTCACTAGTTAACCCCGTTCAGAGGTTGCCGTCAGTGAATGGCAACTCAATGAGTGAAAGAAAATGCGACTGAAAACCTGTGTGGCCCAGCGCGGCTCCCTCTTCTCATCCCAGCTCGTTGCTTCGGCGACATTTAACAGTGAACTGTACTTTCATGACAGCAATCAATCTGCAAAAAGCTTTCCCATTATTCATTTCAAAAGCTGCCTTTCTTATTTTATGATCAGTGTAGGTCCATGTGGCAGTCGGCCCACATCTGAACATTACAACGTCCCGGGGTGATAAAAGGGTTTTCTGCTAGGTACCACGGCAAGATAATGCAATGTGCAGCATGAATGGGCTCTAAATCACTGTT